CTAAGAAGCTGTAAGCTGACTCTCAGCCTTCTAGCTTTGAGTTTGGGTTGGTTACTTTTTGTTTTTCTTTCTTGTCATGCTGAGGTTTGTTACATTTTAAAATAATGTAGAACAGTCTGAATTTTCTCAGAAAACTCCTTTTGGTTAATTTACAAAATATTATTTGGGGAGAAAAGGGCAATAATGTTTCCAACAGAAAAATAGGTAGCCTGAACCATCAGATGGCTCAATCCTGCCCTTCACTTGTCTCTGAGCCTGTGAGAAGCTGGAGAGGGCCGTCTGCACATGGATAACCATTCTGAGGCAAGGGCAAGTCTGTCAGGAACTTGAGCTTCAACAGAAAAGCCATGGCTCTCCGTTATCAATCACCACTTAGCTGAGTAAAATGGTCTAGGGTCACACAGTGATGGCTCTCCTCTGAGCACCCTAAAATCTCAGCCCCCTCATTGCAGCAATGAGCAATAAGGCAGGAGTAGTCCGGTGAGGAAGCCAGGGAAGAGGAGAGAGAGAGGCGAGTGTGTGTCAGGGCTGTCCTGGGCACTGGCTCCAGGAGAAGCCAGCATCTACAAGCTGCCATACTCCCCGCCATGAGAACTGGTTCTTTCCTTCCATCATGTGAGCCTGGGGGATCAAACCCAGGTTGTCAGGCTTGGCGGCAAGTGCCTTTACCCACCAACCCACATTGCCGGCCCCTACTTCATATTCCTAACGTCAGTATTTCAGAACTTGATACTATAATTCAATATACGATAATAAATGGTTGAGTTTTTTAAAGAGCCTTGAACACCCCTCCTCTGGGAGTGTTCTGCGTTGTCTCTAATTTCTCCTTTCGCCTCTTTACACAGACATGACCCACACTTCTGAATACAAAACCCTTTAAAGAGTGGCATATGGTTCTGCAGACCTCATTCTTACAACAGGGAAAGATGGCTTCCAGGAAGGGATCATTGCAGCTCCACATGTTAAGCCCATGGAACTGTTACACACATATGAAATGGGGGTGCCTCCCAGTGTTTGGGAACGGGAGCGGTGAACCCAAGCTGGTTTTAATTATGTGGAGATGGTTGGTAAAACTCCAACGGAAAAATCTTCTCGGAGTTGAAGAAGTCATAGGATTTGAGGGCTGTCCTCTTCTTCAGCAGTCCTACATGTTACTTTGCCAGCCAGCAGCTATGGACTTGAGATGGAGACTCAACTGCAAGAGCATTTGGTTTTGCTTTGCTTTGCGTATGGATGTGTGTTGTGTGTGGTGTGTGCGTCCATACATGTTTGTGCAGGTGAAGAAGCTTGTGGAGGCCTAGGGTTGACTCAGATATCTCCCTTCATGGCTCCTGGTTGTATCTATTGAAGCAGGATCCTAGCTCATCCCGGAGCCACTGTTCTGGCTAGTGTGGCTGGTGAGCTTGCTCCAGAGACACCTTTTTCCTTTTTCCTGCCAGGCCAACCCCGGTGTTTCTGTGGGCTTTTATGCAGTTAAGGCTCCAAACCTTAGCCCTCGGGCCTGCATGGCAAGTGTTGTACCCACTGAGCCCGCTCCCCAGACCTTTTTTTTCCTTTTGAGTTTGTTGTTGCTTAGAGTCAGGGCTATGTATAATATAGGCTAGAGTCAAAGTTACTGTAAAGCTGAGAATGACCTTGAACTTCTGCTCTTCTTGCCTTCACCCCAGTGTGGAATCACAGGTGTGCACCCCATGCCCGTCTTATGCAATGCTGGCAGAGGTGGAGGCAGAGAGACCAGAAGTTCAAGGCCACTCTCAACTAGGTAGAGAATTTGAGGACAACCTGAGCTATTCGAGACCCTGAATCATACAATGTTTCCTTTATTCATCCATCTGCACTGGGCATCTAACCCACTCCCGTGTCTTGACTGTAGTGGGACAAACAGCAATAAACACAGACGCACACGTATTTCTGTAGCATGCTATCTTGATGCACCACGCACCAATGTCTTTTTTTTCTGTGTGGTGCTGCAGATTGGTCCAAGGGCTACATACATGTTAGGCCAGTACTCTATCAGCTCAGCTACAACAAAGACTCCAGAGCTTCACTTACCGGACTAACAGATGTCAAGACTGGTGTTGAAACACAGGGTCTCAGGCTTTACGGAGATCTCCTGTTAGAGTAATAAATGTTGATTATGAAAGGCACACATTATGAAAGGCAGAACATGAAGTCGTCACAGTGCCATGGCTGAGGGCACACTGAGTTAGCAAATTCTCAAGCGGGTGGTCAGCCCAGCTGTGCAAGACTTGCAGAGGAAGCTATGGACAGATTTTGTGACTTTGGCTCACTATTCACCTCTGCCTATGAGAGAGTCCAGAGGGTTCGCAAGGGGTGGCATGAGATTGGGAAACAGAACACAGGAGGCAGATGTTGTTGGGTGATGGTGCAGGGTTTTCATGGGACAGGAGAGGTAGCTGGCCTAAAGAAGACTTCTGGAGCCACTGGAATGTGAGGCTTAGAATGCCATGTGCTTGGTGCCTCCAAAAGAAAGGGCAGCCGCCTAGAGGTTACATCATCACTGTGAGCAGGTCAGAGGAACATGGACATCCTGACGGAGTATGTACAGATGCTATAACAGCATGTTGTGGGTTGACCTGGAGCCTTCTTAAGGGGATTTTGCCCTCAAATTATACTCTTCAGTTCTCCCAACAGAGAACACCCTATCCTTAAGGATAAGCTACAGAAAGGTTGGGGGCCAGTGGCCAGGGGATCACCCAAGCAAAGGAGATGCTGGAGGAGAGCCTGGGAGCAGCGTCTCCACTGCTGGGATCAGCAGAGAGAGGCTCAGTTGGAAGTCTGCCCAGACCAGCGAATGCCAAGCACTAACAGACCTTTCTAGCCCCTTTGCCTCACTTTCTCCTTAATACAATAAGGGGTAGAGGTTGCCCTGGGCAACTGAAGAGAGGACTTGGCATGAGAGCAGAAACTACACAAAGCCATCTTTTCCATGGATGTTCTAACCATAGGAGACCAAGTCTGAATGACTGACAATTTGTATTATTCTTCTGGGCGGGAACAGTTAATTATGTTATATTATCTGTAATATCCCCTCTCAGAGTTGATGTGTAAGGCTTGGTCTCCTTGATGGTTCATTGACAAGGTAGTGGGGCCTTGGAGACACAGAGCCTGGTAGGAGACCTTTGGATATTGAAAGGCTGTCTGCTGGCTTCAGTTCTTCATATGACTGGCTTCTTCTGTGATTCTGCGCCCATTAAAGTTTAGGCAGCTTTATTCTAGAGTAGGAAACTCCATCCGTTCATGGTGCAGAAGGAACACCATGATGTTAGCACATTATGGAAATAGCCCTTCTCTTTCGAGCCCACAGGGTGTGCTCCTGCTCACCTCCTGGGGTAGAAAAGGAGATACTGGAGGCTACAAGTGAACCTATGGGCTAAGGCTCCTGCCGTGGCTTTAGAAAACCTGGTCCCCCTGCAAAAAAAAAATGGTCCCTTCTATGTCCTGTGTTGGGGGCTGCCCAATGGAGATCGTGTGACTGAAGAAGATCAAAGCTGGTTTATATGTGGTAGAATAATGACAGAGGGAGTAAGCAAAGATACAGCCCCCATCTCTCCCCTCCGGCTTTGTCAAGTAGTATGTTTGCTTAGTATGTCAAGAGACATACACATATATCACTCCTGTCAATGGCTCAGGTGTTTACGGGGTGTGACCTGCCTGGAGTCAGTAGGAACGCCTAAATAATCTGTTCCATTTCAAAAGCCTTTGCATAAACCAAACCACATTTAAATATTTTGTGGTTGCTTATTTTGATTGTATTTTGTTTTCAATTTTTGTTTTTTGAGACATGGTCCTGCAGTCTGTCTGCTTCTGACTCTACTGCTGGGGTTAAAGGCATGTACCACTACACCTAGCCACTTTTAACTTTTAATTCTCATGACTCCAGCTTGGTGTCCCCAGAAAAGACAGCTTATGGGGCTGAGGGCGTATCTCATTTATAGGATTCTCGCCTGGTGTGTTCCATCCTCAGGAGCTCACACATTGAGTATGAGGATGTAGTTACATAACCTAGTACTCAAGAAGCAGAAGCAAGGGGCTGGAGAGATGGCTCAGCGGTTAAGAGCATTGCCTGCTCTTCCAAAGGTCCTGAGTTCAATTCCCAGCAACCACATGGTGGCTCACAACCATCTGTAATGAGGCCTGGTGCCCTCTTCTGGACTGAAGAAAGAATGCTGTATACATAATAAGCAAATAAATAAATATTAAAAAAAAAGAAGCAGAAGCAAGAGGATCTGGGATTCAAGATCATCATCATCAACTAGTTCAACTAGTTAGCAAGTTCAAGGCTAACCTAGGCTCCTGAATTCCGTCTCAAGAGCAAAGACAGTGTGTTCTCTGAGAACTGGCCATGGTGGAACCTGGTTGTAATCCTAACACCCAGGAAGATGACGGGATCACAGATATGGAAGCAGTCAGAGTCTATAAACACATGTATAGATTTTGAAAACATAGGCTATATTTGTTCTGTTGACAGTGGCCCATGGGTTAGAGGTGTTAGCTGCTGGATGTTTACCAGAGTCTCGGGTCCAGTCCTAAGCACTACATACACACCTCCATTCACTATGTAGTAGGTTCAGGGTCAACTTGGGATACGAGAGACCCTGTCTCAAAAACAAACAAACAAACATCACAATCTTTGAGGATTTCCTGTAAATCACAGAGAAATGAAACACAATTAATAAAAACTCACAAGGGGAAATTGGAATTCAACCTGAAGATCCAAAAAGCAAAGCAGTCAGCCACTGGCTCTTAACTCCACCTCAGTCCGAAATGGTGATCCTGCCTCTGGGAATCTCAGTTGAGACTATGACTGAGAGCTGTCTCCTCCCATTTTATAATCCTCTCTAGGGCTGGGATTAAAGGCATGCACTACTGGGATTAAAAGCATGCACCACCCTGTTTCTATGGCAACTAGTGTGGCTACTAGGATTAAAGGTATATGTTACCACTGCCTGGTCTGTAAGGCTGGAGAGTGGGGATGTTTTACTCTCTGATCTTCAGGCAGTTTTATTTATTAAAATACAAATAAAATATTGCTACACAGGAATTTGAACTCTCTGGGGCTACTGACAATAGAGTGAGAAATGAGACTGAGAGCAGCTTCTTCCAAGGGACCTCAGTACGACAACACAGATGTCATCAGGCGTGCGAGCAAAGCTTGGTCACCTTTCTGCTTCCGTGTCCCATGAGCTTTACCGCTGTGCATGAAACGCCACTGCCTGGTCACTAAGATTTTAAGTGAATGCATGCATATCACACTAAATATATTGCTGCCAGGAATCTTAATTTTTAAAACAAGAGACATGTGGGAGGAATGAGCCAGCTCTCATCACTTCAGACGCTGCACCTGCTTCTTCGCAAGAGCCTAGCTGTAGCCAGGGAGACAGGGCTCGGAAGAGGGGCGGGGTGTCCAGAGCCTCCGCTTAGCCGCGTTCCAAAACCCAAGCCCCTCCTCCCAGTCAGCACAAGTGGGAAACCGATTTTTCAAAATGTAGGCGAGAACAAGGGCTTGAGGTCCCCCAGAGAAGCAAAAGGCTCCTCTCCCGTCTGCTCTTTAAATGTTTCCGACAAGGAGCTAACTCCCCGGAGGCATTTTCCTCTGTTGTTTATGCAAACCTTTACCAGAGACAGAAGACACAGCTGGGCAGTCAACAAGTCTCCTTAAATCACCAATGGCTTCTCGCTTTGACAGTGGCTTAGACTGCTTATCTAGACTACACGTTAGGATTTGTTCTTAAGATTGTGTGTGTGTGTGTGGGGGTATATATGTGTGATGTGGTGTGTGCACACGTGGGTATATGAGCAAGTACACATTCTCATGTCTGAGGAGTATTACCCCGCACCCCGCTTACCTCCTCCAGACAGAGTCCATCCCTGAACCTGTGCGAGACTAGCAGCTCTGGAGCCCCAGTGACACTCCCCCTCCCCCTCCGACCCTTGGCAGACTGGGTTACAGGCACATGTGCTGCTGTGTCCACCCCTTCACACGGGTTCTGGGGATTTGAATTCGTGTCCTCATGCGTGAACAGTCAGCACCCACGTCTCTTGAGTTTTCTCCCCACTGCATCTTCTATACAGTTCTTATTTGATGTCCACACTGACGTTGATCTAGTCCTCTACATTCTGCATAGTTGCAGAACTAAGATATGTCTGTTAAAGGCCATGCTTTCTACACATAATTCAGAACAATCACTCTGGAGCGGAGTCATTAGTTTAGAACCTTTCCGTAGCACCTTGCAGCCTTTGAGAATATTTTTGACATATTCTTTTTTTTTTAATTTTGAATCTCATAATGTGATAGTTACTTTTTTCATTGAAATTGAAAAATACCCAATGAAACTAAGGTAGGAAGAAAGGGATCCTTTTGGTTCACGGTGGAGAGTACAGTCCGTGACAGTGGGGGAGGCAGGACAGCTGGTCTCAGGGCATCCAGTGTTGGGCAGCAGAGAGGCCCAAAGGCTGGTGCTCCCTCAAGTCCTCACTTCCTTTTGTGGCTTCCCATGGTCAGGAAGGGTCCTCAGTTAAAGCTCTCTGGAAACAAATCAATGCATCGGTCTGTTTCCATGGCGATTCTAAATCCAATCAAGCTGACAGTGAAAAGGAACCACCACAGACGATAGCTGTGGCCAAGGAGGCCACTCCACTTCTTCTGAATGAGGAAACAAGGGTCTAGACAGGTTAACTATTGCAGGGAGATTTCCACACTAAGAAACACACGAGCAGCAGCAAGCGTGCAGGTTTTTCTGGGTGTGGTGGTACACGCCTTTAATGCTGGAACCTAGGAGACAGAGACAGGAGAATCTCTGAGTTCCAGGGCTGCCAGAGACAAGCTAGACATCAGGGACAGCCTGGTCTACACAGTGAGTTCCAAGGCAGCAGAGATACACAGGGACACCCTGTCTCAAAAACAAAACAAAACAAAAGCAGCAACAACAAATCATTTGGCAGCAGAGGACGTAACTCGGTTGATAAGAATGCTCGCCTGGCACGCAGGAAGCCTGGAGTCCAAGGTCATCTTAGATGCATAGTGAGTTCATGGTTAATTTGGATTGCATGATACCCTATCTCAAAATGTTGTTTTTTATTATTTATTGTACATAGATTACATAAATAATTTTTTATAATTTTTTATTTTATGTTTTCATTTTACATGCCAATTCCAGTTCCCACTCCCTCCCCTCCTCCCATCCCCTCCACCTACCCTCTCCACTCCTCATTCACTCCCCAGAGTGGATAAAGCACATTGCTTTGCGGAAGGTCCAAGGCCCTCCCTGTTGTATCTAGGCTCAGCAAAGTATCCATCCAAAGAGAACAGGTTCCCAAAAAGCCAGCACAAGCAGTAGGGGTAAATCCTGGTGCCACTGTCAGTGGCCCCTCAGTCTGTCCCAGCCATACAACTGTCCCCCACATTCAGAGGAGTTAGTTTGGACCTATGCTCGTTTTTTCCAGGCATAAATAAGTTTTAAGTACTACTCCAAAGCCAGTTTCTCTGTCAACCAGGATCCTTACGTTCACACTTCGATTGAGAGTAAATCATTGCAGCATTTGACACTAGAGGGCGCTCCATGGGAAGGTTGGCGACATAGAGCCCGAAGAGCCTGCTAGAGAGGCAAGAGACCCAGCAACAGGAAGATGAAACAGGAAATAAACAATAAAAATCTACAGATAACATCACCAGGCCAGATGTCACAGGCTGCTTAGTGGTCTATGAATAAGGGCTCCCTTCCAACCCCCACTCCGTACAGTCTCGACCTTCAAAGTATACCTAATTCAACCATTCCGTCTCACATGTTTGTTAAGTAGCATAGGTATAATTATCTCTATTTTATAGATTAAGAAACTGAAGTTTAACAAGCGCAAGTGATGCTCCCGAAGTGACAAGCACAGAGTATTTTGATATCAGCTGCCTTCAAGTGGCTTAGCAGCACAGGGCAGTTGGTGCTGTTCTTTTAGTGACTTCGCTTGCAGAACCTAGAATTCCGGTGCTGAAACTCCATTGTTCTAGCCTTTCGACATTTCACTCAGGGCCAAACGGTATCTCTGCAGTCATAAACAAACCTTTCCGGATTCCTCACTTACTCCATTCCACACTTGCTTACTGGAAGTGTCTTCTCCCTTTGCTCTCCGCCTCTGAAACCCACGACTTTCAGAGGTTTCACGACTGAGGTCTTTTGCTGGGGCTTCCTTGGCTCTAAGGAGGGCTCTTAATACTGGCTCACAAAGGGTCAGAAACATCGAAACTTCTTGTCCTATCTGTAGGCGCCCAGCACTTACACAGGGTGTGATCCCAAGCCTGGGATAAAATCCTGTTACTGCCACGCTTGTTGAGTATCCTGAGTAGCTGTGACATGGGTAGCTGGTAAGCTCCAAGTGATCCCTTGGAATGTATTCACGCTACTGTATTATGTCATCCTGATCCAATTTGCATTTGCGGCTGTTACCTTATGCGTTTTTCTCAAGATGTTTCATCTCTACATATTTGTTTCTCACAAATGGGAGCTCCGGCAGGGCAGTGCTGGTGTGTGCCTTTAATCCTGGCTCTCTCTCGGGAGGCAAAGACTGGGGGATCTCTGTGAGTTCGAGGCCAGCCTGGTCTACAGAGTTAGTTCCAGGACAGACTCCAAGGCTACAGAGAGACCCTGTCTCAAAACCTTCCCCCCACCCTGAAAAAGAAAAAAGAATGGGAGCTCCAGGACTGGGAGTATAGGCTGGAAGGTGACTTAGACCCTGAATTTAAAACCCAAACCCAGCACCGCATAAAACTAGCTGCGGTGCTGGAGAGAGCACTGAGTGGTTAAAGGCGCTTGCTGTCAAGCCTGACAATCCAAGTTCAAGCTCCGGGCCCACATGGTGTAAGAAAAAGACCAACCCTCACAGTTGTTCCCTGTCCCACATGCACACTGTCGCACACATGTGCAAATAAATCAACAACCGCTGGAAAAACTGGGTGTGTTGGTGCGTATCTCTAATCCTAGCACTTGGTGGGTAGAAACAGGAAACCCAGACAACCAAAGTTGTTTCTGACTATGTAGTAGGTCTAGTACCAGCCCAGGCAGGATACAGGAGACCCTGTTTAAAAACAAAACATACTACCTTGATTCATACAAGCATGGAATGTGTGCCACCTTTGTGGTCTGCCTTTGTGGTCTGCCTTCATGGTCAACACGAGGCACCCTGCGGAGCTGTGACGTCATAGTTAGTTCATTGACTTCATCTTCCCTGCAGAGCTAAGATCGTTGAGCTGAATGCTTACTTCTGATTGTCTTTGATATGACAGCTACTGATTAGACACCGTAGAATCAGGATGTACAGGGGGCCGAGGACAGTTCCCTGACAGAACAGTTGCCTATTGTGTGCCCTTTGCTGGATCCCTAGCCTTAAAGAAAACTGAAAGGTAAGCTACAACTCCTGAAACTGAGTGCTAATAGTTAATGTGAAAGCATCCGAAGATCTATATGCCAGTGTTTAACTGTTAGTAGGAAACAAGAAATGATGCTGTTCCACTCTTAGGAGAGTCCGAATGACTCAGAGCTTATCACTGATACACTGTGAAAGGAAGCAGCTTGGTCAATAGCTCAGCATGCATGGAGCCTGGGTTTGATCCCCGTGTTCTGTGACACGTTATATAAACCAGGCCGTAAGAAGCCATGCAGCATAGTGGGACAAAGGCAGGTTTTAGGGTCCACAAAGCTTATGCTGGGGTTCAGTAACCTCGTGCTAAGGATGCTACTGTCAGTCTGGGCTGTGGGTTCAAAGGTGGCTGATAGCAGCACACCAGCTGGCATGTGCGCTCGACTGGACAGGGTTCTGTGCCAGGTGCTTCGCGGAGCGCATCCCACAAGCTCCCCCGTTCAGGTCTCTCCACTGATACAAACGCCGGAGCCATTCACAGTTACTGCTGAAGAAGCCAGCAGTCACGCTCTAAATGTCTGTGCCCTGACCCCAGGCCTAATCCCCAGCACGGCTGCTGAGTTTGGAGAAGGAATCTCTTCAGAAATAACTGAGGTTAAATGAGGCCATAAGGAGGGACCCTATTCAGTTAGACTGGTGTCCTAAGAAGAGGCACCAAAGGCCACGTGAGGACGTGGAGAAGAACAGGCAGAGGCAACCTAAGGGTAAAGATGTCACAAGACGCCGAGCCCTCAGCACTTTCGGCTTGGACTTTGCCTCCAACACTTTGAGAAAGCCAGTGCACGATGTCAGTTCCACCTTGTTTATGGCGCTCTGTTCAGGCAGCGCGAGCTAATTATGACTGGACTTGGGGAGGGAAGCCTGCCTGGCACAGATAAGAGACGTAGACCCAGGACTTGAACTTAGGACTGCCAGTGACTAATAATAGTGCAGACAAGTCGGGATGGTGGCGCTTACCTGCAGTCCCTGTACTCTGGAAGCAGAACCAAGGGCCCTGCCTGGAGTTGGAAGCCAGCCGGAAGCTACGTAGCAAAATTCTTTCTCAGAATCAAAACTCAAACACAGACACATTTGCACACTAATTTACATTGCAATACCGTTCATTACACTAAGTTCTAGAACCAATGTAGGTGCCCACACCAGAGGGATGAATAAAGAAAGTGTGCTCTGTATGCACAATGGAATTTTTTTTCTTTTAAGAAAAACATAAAGAAGAAAAGAGTCAAGACTGGAGACGTGGCTCAGCAGTTAAAGGCACTTGCTGTTCTTCTAGAAGACTGAGTTTTCCCAGTAGGCAGGTCACTGTGAGTTTGAGAACAGCCTCTGCCTCTTGAGTGCTGGGATTAAACCACCCTGGCTCACATTAAAACATTTTTTAAAACAATCTGCAAAGTTTAACTGTCTAGAAGGAGAAGGGCAAAAGGGAGACAGCCAGGGAAAATCAGCAAAGTAACAGGGTTTGGGTGAGAATATGCTCAATGTACAGTAAAGACTCGGATGGAAATGTAAAAGTTAATGTAATTAAAAACCACCCCAAATATATATAGTATGGAGAAAATACTGGCAAGATGTGTGATTAAATTATAAGCACTTAAAAATGGTTTCTAGGGTTGGAGGGATGGCTAGAGGTTAAGAGCACTGGCTGCTCTTCCAGAGGAGCTGGTTCAACTCCTAGTGCCCAGACGACAGCTCACACCTGTCTGTAACTCCAGTCTAGGGGATCTGGTTGTGTCGCACAGATATACCAGCAGACAAAACACTAATGCACGTAAAATAATAATAAATAAATTATAAAATGTAATTTTAAAAAATGGTTTCTAATCATGCAGTGGTGGCTCACACCTTTAACCCAGTACTTGGGAGGCAGAGACTGGTGGATTACTGAGTTGGAGCCCGGCCTGGTCTACAGAGAAAGTTCCAGGGCAGGTTCCAAAGCTACACAGAGAAACCCTGTCTCAATACCCCCCCCAAGCAAAACAAAAACAAAAACAAAAACAAAACAAGCCAAAGAAAAAAAACCTCTAGTTTCTAATATTCCCCCATAAGTCCAGGAGTTGAGCCCATGAGATTGGAGTGAGTTCTTCTGCAAGCCATTAAGGAAGACAGGTTCCTGGGCCCAGGGCACAAGCCAGAGGCATGAGGAAAGCACACTTGACCCCAGTCGCAAACTGGCTGCAGCTCCTGCCCCCTGCCTCCCTAGACTCGGGAGCCAGCCCCCCTCCAACTCTGAGTCCTCTGGGCTCCAGCTGCGTTCCCAGACTGGCACACGGGTCCACACATCTGTCAACTGCCCCTCTCAATCTGCTTCTGCTTTATCCGTGACCTGCTGGGACAGCACTGCTTGCCCTCTGGTGAGGAAGCCTAGACCTCGGGGGATTGGTATGGTTGGCGTCACTCCCGAGGCCTGGGTGACAGTTGTCAGAGCAGAGCTGAATTGTAAGACTGGATGTGCACAAACCTGAATCCACTCAGTTCAACTACAGTGTCCCCACAAAGGCTGGGGATATGGCTCAGTCGGTGAGGTGCTTGCTAGATGCACAAAGTCCTGGGTTTGAACATCATCATTGTAGAAAACGGTATAGAGATGCACACCCGTGACCTCGGTGCTCATGGGGGATCACACCCGTGACCTTGGCGCTTGTGAAGGCTCACACCCGTGACCTCGGTGCTCATGGGGGCTCACACCCGTGACCTCGGCACTCATGGGGGGTTCACACCTGTGACCTCAACACTCATGGGGGCTCACACCCGTGACCTTGGCCCTCATGGGGGGTTCACACCCATGACTTAGGTCACGAGCTCTAACACCTGTGATCTCTGTACCCATGGAGATTCATACCTGTGGCCTCAGCACTCAGGAGGTAAGAGAGTTAAAAGTCTCAGGTCATTACATACTGCACACTGAATTTAAGGCCACTGGGCAACATGAGAGCCCATCTCAAGAGAGAGAGAGAGAGAAAGAGAGAGAGAGAGAATGAAGAAAAGGAGGGGGGAAGAAGGAGGGAAGAAGGAAAAAAGAGAGCTGCGGCTCAGTGTGACCCTGGAAAGCACTTTGTCCTTGGAGGGCTCTTTGTCCTGCCCTGCGGGTCTGGGAATGGCGGTTCTGAAGCTGCCCCCAGACCCCATCCTTACCTCTTTCTCGCAGCTCTCAGCTCCCAGCACTTGTTCTCAGGCTATTTTTAACTTGTCCTTTCTTTTCAAAAATTGCACCAGAGGAGCTTAATCAGCCCCGTTTGGCTTTGTGTAGAGAAGAGAATTTGCAGACGCTACCCAATAACAGCCAAAGAACACCGTGGCTGGCTGGCACGCCTCTGCAACCAGCCTTTCCCTCTTCGGTGCAATAGCTTATTTTTGGACGGCGGCCCCCACACATCACACTCATGCCACACAGGGGTTCATTGTGAACCTAGAAGAAACCAAAGACGTAGGTGAGGAAGTTAGAAAAGTCAGTCCTAGCTTCGGTGGCAAAGCAGGGGTAGGAGGGGAGAGCTGGGCACTGGGAACTCCTGACTGCAGCTCCAAGCACTTCACACCTGCACGGTCTCCAGTCTTCGTCTTGGCATTGGTCAGCCAGCAGCAGGAACAACAGCAAGAGCTGGTGAAAGGGGCAACTACTGGCTCAGGTTTTTGGTCATTTATCATGTCAAACTCACACCCCTAAACTGCACCTGTTATCACAAAACAAATAAGCAGGAGAAAAAGTTCAAGTGTCTCCTAAGACACTGGCAATAAACACAGCAGAGTACCATCTGCCCGAACTCGGAGTCCACCCGGGTCAAAGCTGAATGACCTGGGGTACAAGTCGTAAACAGCACTGCTGGCCCCCAGCAGAGGCAGAGCAGCTCCCTGTGTGCACTGTCCTCTGGACCTCAGCCAATCCAGGTCCTTCTGAGTAGGACTTTAGTAGTCACGAAGGCCCGGCTGTTGTTCGTGCTCAGTCTGCCGAGCATTCCAAAGTCCTCTGGCCACTTTTGCCATCAGGGTATTTCCACCCTCCACTGGAGCTTGGCCGCGCCTTCTTCTGATGGCCTGAAGTTGCTGATTGCAGTTTATGATATTCAGACCTTGGATCTGCTCTCAGTGTGTGTGTGTGTGTGTGTGTGGTGTGTGGGGGAAGAGGGAGCTATGGAGCGAGGCTTGAATAAACAGCCCATCCCCCTGGAACTGTGTTGGCATTAAAACGCAGCCAGTCAGTAGGATTTGTCTTCTGAATCCAGGCTATTCTAATATCCCACGATCAGGCAGAAGGTGGAAGGGCTTGCTACAAGAAGGACAGCGAGCTGCCTGATCATCTTGCTTGAAAGAAATGATTTCTAGAAGGTTGAGATGTTAAGCAAACACTGGTGAACAACAACACTCGTTTTTAAATTTGTGTCTGGAAGACAGAGCTTTTCTGACGGGTGTACAAAGTATGTATTTGTTGTAAGGAGGCTGCTTGTTGGTTCCTGGCTACTCAGCAACTCAGCCCCAAAATAATCACACAGGAACTGTATTAATTAAATCACTGCTTGGTCTATTAGCTCTAGATTCTTATTGGCTAAGTCTTATATCTTAATTTAACCCATTTCTATTAATCTGTATATCGCACATGACTGAGGCTTACTGGCTAAAGTTCTATCTGACTCTAGCACGCTTCTCTCTGACTCTGCCCTTCTTTCTCTCAGCATTCAGTTTAGTTTTCCCTGCCTATCTAAGTTCTTCCCTATCAACAGGCCAAGGCAGTTCTCTTTATTAATAAGCCAATCATATTCACAGTATACAGAGAGGAATCTCACATCACCTCCAGCCCAGCATGGCGGAGCTGTTTGCTGCCTCTGAGAGCCATGCTCACAGCCCCATTTTTAGGCACACAGCCCATCTATGTGCACACAGTAAGCAATCATAGAAACCATATTATTTGTAATACTGTTTGGCCAATAGCTTAAGCGTATTTCTGGCTAACTCATATCCTAAACTAAACCATCTCTATTAATCTGTGTATCATCACATGGCTGTGGCTTACCGGGTAAAGTTCTGTCTGGCATCTGTCTCCGGTGGGGCTCCATGGCTTTTCCTTGACTTTGCCCTTCTTTCTCCCAGCATTCAGCTTAGTTTTCCCCACCTAGCTCTGTTCCCCTATAGCTCTGCTGTAGGCCCAAAGCAGTTCTTTATTTATCAATGGTAATCACAGCATGCAGAGGGAATCCCACATTATGTATTACTGATGGACACGACTGTCATTAATTAACCAAAAGTAGATGGTGTCAGAAGAGTAATTTTTTGAGTTGCCACTCAAGTCTAGTGCTCAAAATGAAAAAACGCAAAAAAAAAATGTGTTTAGACTTTTAATGAGATTAAGCAGCTAAACAACAACAAAAACACCCAGGGCTATGAGTGTGGCATAGTTTGGTGGAGTGCTAGCTGCTAGCCTAGCATACAACAAGCCCAGGGTTTGGTCCCCAGAACCGCATGAGCCAGGTGTGGGGGTGCACACCCCAGCACTTGGGAGGGAAAGGCAGGAAGATCAGAAAGACAAGTCACTCTTGGCTACATGGGAAGTTTGAAGTCAGCCACAGCTCTGTAAGTTCCTGTCTTGGGAGTGGGAGGTGTGGGAGGGGGTAGGCAGGAAAGAGGTGCTGTGGGACAATGATCTGTACCCTGTCACTTGTATTTTAAATAGCCGTTAATTGGCCAGTAGCTGGCAGGAAGTATAGGCGGGGTGACCAAGCAGCAAGTAGAGGTGGGCAATGAGAATTTTGGGAAGAGGGAAGTTTCAGTCTGCAGTCATCACCCAGACACAGATCAAACAAGATGTGACTGTCTCACCGAAAAAGATACCAAGCCACGTGGCTAACACAGTAAGAATTATGGACTAATATAAGTTATAAGAGTTAATAAGAAGCCTGAGCTACTAAGCCAACCAGTTTATGATTAATGTAGACCTCTGTGTGTTTATTTGGAACTGAATGACTGCAGGACCAGGTGGAACATAAACCCCAGTCAACAAATGGTGCCCAATGTGTGGACAACTGCATCCACAGAAAACCTGAGTTTGGGAAGTAATTCTGACACAAAATAGCATGGCTTCTTGGTAGCAGCAATTTCTCGGGTTTGTTATCTTTACTAGAGTCAAGTGCATCTCATTTAAGAGAGGCTTCCTGACTCAGCTTCACTTGCAAAACTTTGCAGCTCTTTTAAGAGGTCCTGCCACAAAACACTTAAATGGTGTTTATGAATTGCTGACAGCATGCTTCTTGGTGGTGTCAGGGACCTTGAAACTTTATAGAGTTGTGGCAATAAACAAGGCTCTGTCTAGTACCTCTGCCTTGAGGCTAGACTCTCAGACAGCAAAGGAATGGGCTGGATCCAGCTGTCAGAGCCATGGCTTTAATCCTTGCTATATCGCTTAGCAAATTAAAGACCCATGTGGTCAGAAAAAGAGAGATATACAGTAAAGAGAGATTCAAAGACGAAGAAAACCTCTAAATGGTTTACAGTGTGTTTAAAAATATATGTAGCCTTAGGAGAAAAAAAAGATAAAGTCCTTAAAATATAAAAGAAAGAGAGTAGTTGGGTGTGGTGGCACATACCTTTAATCCCAGCACTTGGGAGGCAGAGGCAGGTAGATCTCTGTGAGTTCAAGGACAGCCTGGTCTACAGAGTGAGTTCTAGGACAGCAAAGATACACAGAGAAACCCTGTCTTAAAAAGCCAAAAATTAAAAATAAAATTAAAAGAAATTATTTTAGAGTTTAAAATAAAGCCACGTAAAGATGGAAAATACACAGAGAATCTGGATACTGTATATTATTGTGTTGTCTTTTAATTGTATGACTGCTTAGGAAGAAGTAACAGCTGCTAAAAGACATTTGATTATAAATGCTGCTGGATTAATCCAATATACATATTTTGAAAATGTCTTGGCTTCAAAATTTAAGTCAAAAGGTATGTTTCTTTGGAGAAGATGTTTTACTTTTGTTTCCACAGGAGATTAGAGGTTGTGGATTGATTCTAGGTTAAGAAAACTCAGGTTTGATCAAGGAAGATCCCCTAAGAAATCTTCAGTAGGAACAGATGGCCCAGATGTCTGAGTTCCACATCCAGAACAGTTTCAAGACTGCTGTCTGAGATGATCAAGCCTCACAGGACACTCCAGTCAGGACTTGATTATAATTCTAAATTTTCTTTAGGTCCCCATAAGATTTTCAGCACCCCCAATCAGCAGGAAGTAGCTTGGAAAACTTGGCCCACATTCCCCAAAAATGGACTATGGCTATTTGCCTTTGTTTAGAGTGTTGGTTACAAGTTGTTATGGATAATGGTCAGGAGAAAAGCTAAACAAAAGAGATCCGATTCGGAGTTCTTGTTTAAAAAAAGGGGGGGTGCTGTGGGACAATGGTCTGTACCGTCACTTGTATATTAAATAAATGCTGATATTGGTACCTTTTCCGGTGAGGCGGTCACATCCTGCTTGCTCTGTGTCTGGGTGACGACTGCAGATTGACTCTTTTCTATTCCCAAAATTCTCTTGCTCTCCTTGCTCCGCCCCTACTTTCTGCCTGGCTACTGGCCAATTAGTATTTTATTAAAACGCTATTCACAGGGTACAGATCATTGTCCCACAGCAAAGAGGAGCTAAAATGAGTGGGCTAAAGATCAACTTTCAGGGGCCCACACAGGGGAGCCCTGAGCTCAGACTTTGTTTCCCTATCCTTTCACTCAGCAGCAATGAACACCACAGTGCTGTGATGTCACAGGTATGATGTCACAGGTGTGATGTCATAGGTGTGGGAATCTCCCCTGCCCGCAGCAGCAATAAGCAATTAATTCTGCAGTGGATCCCGGTTGATCATCATCTCATTCAGCTCACCCCCACAGTGTCTACCTGAACATAGGATCCCACAGGTTGAGGGCTGAGCCCCAAGTCTGCTCTTGTAATTTTGGATACCAATAGCAAGTCTCAGGTTGTGGCCTGTACTTGCCCCTGAGAAGCTACAAGCTGGGGCCACTGCAATCCCAAGTTTAATTTGCTAGGACCCCACGGCTCTCAGAGAAATGTGCTTAGTGGTTTATTGTGGAGAAAAGCGTGTGGAATAAAGATAAAGAGATTCATGGGGCAGTGTAGGGGGGAGTGCAGGATCTCTAGGCATACCACCTTGATTTGGGCGCTCTCTGAACGTTTCTTTGTAGGGTGTTTTAAGACTTCATTCACACATTGGTAGTAAGTCACTGGTCACTAGTGGTCAATTCACCTTCAGCTTCACTCTGCAGAGGTCAGGGGACATGAAGGTCACAGTATCAACCCTCAGATTCTAACTTGGTCTTTCAAGTGACCAGCCCCCATTTGGAAAGCCACATAAGAACGACCAGTCATCGGCTCACACTGGCACAGAAGGAGTTAAGACAATAGCAGCAACAGGACACAACTTTCAAGCTTTCAAAAGCTTTAGGAGTTGTATGATGGGACAGAAAATCAAAACTACCTATGTCATACTATCACACAGGTGATTATTTATAGGCTACTAAAGACTCTCGTGGTTCAGACTCATATCCTGATCTCCCTATATTAGGGTCCTCCAGAGAGTTAGACACAATAGACTCCAGATACATGATAGATAATAGATGGGCAAACAGATTTAGGTAGATGGCAGAAATATATAGATATGAACATGAGAGGGTTTATTATGGGAATTGGCTCAAGTGGTTATGAAGGCTGAAAAGCCCCGTGCAATATCTGCAGGCTGGAGAAGACCCGGG